ACACACACACACACACACACACACACATGCACACACACACACTCTCACACACACACACACACGTTCACTCACACACACATACACACACACACACACAGGCACAAACTAACTTAAAGCACATGCACTTACTCTAAAAAGAATACTCAAGATCACTCTAAAATTGACTATTCTCTTTCTTTAATTTAATTTTTGTTTGTTCAGGATTGCACCTCTTGTTATAGTGTATAATATTGAAAAGCCAGTTACCAATACTGATAAAATTTAAAGAAAGTATACAAGCTTCTTTGCCTTTGCATTTCACAATCATCATAGCCCATTGTTTTGTTCAGCAAGCTAATACCCAGTGCACATACATGCCAACTGAAATCATCGGTTTGAGTCGGGCCTGTCAGATTTTCTTCATGGATGGGGTAAAATCTACCATTTTGGCACTGTCTGACCATCACAACAAGCCTGAGTAAATTTGACTGTGACCTTCAAATGAAATGCTGTTTATTTTTCAAGGTTGCAAGTTGAATTGGTTGTTTTGTGCCAAAATGGTATCTTTTCTCCCATCCATGATGAAAAAAAATCTGGCAGATCCCTATTCAATCTGATGAATCCGATTAGCAGTGTGTGCTGATAAATGAGACTTCTGCAACTCCACTGTGACCCCAATGGTGACCCTAGATGTTGCTTACTACTATGTTCAAGCAGTTTGAAATTGGGGGAAGACTGTACTTTACTTGACCGAATAGTGTTAACTGTTATAAGAACTTTATTCCAACTGTTGTGATTTTCTCAAACTGTTTATTTTTTCTCCACAGAGTGTCACTATTGAGCATGTCCCACCCAAATTGGTGCTGCATATGTTCAGCTTCTTGAGGCTATGTGAGCTGGGAAAGATGGCCCAGGTGTGTCGTAAATGGAGATCAATTGCTTACGACAGCCGCTTGTGGACGAAAGTCTCGCTCCGACCTGAGTTCTCAGGATTACACGTCTATGCACCGGAGGTTCTTCAGGCCCTCATTGGAATTCGGTTCGGAGCCACGCTGAAGTACATTGAAATACCCAGTGACCTCATTACTGCTCCTGTCTTACATGAACTGTCGAACAAATGCCCAGCTCTCAGGTGAGATTATGATAAGTAGACTAGCCTACAACATGAACCTATAAAAATTACAAATAGACAAATAAGTACTTTGTGTCCTCGTTAGTTGAAGCAGACTATTTTGTTAAGTAATGAAGTGGGTAGAGGATGGAGTGGTGGGGGACAGTGTCTTAAACAATTTTTTTTTTCCCGATCCCTTTGATGTTTTATTGGTACTACTCCTCTGGAAAATGTTACTTCCTGTCTTGTGATGTTCACACATATAGGGGCACATACACACGGCTTAAAGAAAAGCCGTATGAGGTTATATATAACAGCATTCTTCTTTATAGTTGTTATGGAATGTGGAGCCTCGTTCTATAAACGTGCAGTTTTTTTATCCGCAATTTAGGATGATTATGTTTCCATGACAACAAAAATTGGAGCTTTTATTGAAGCTTGACAAGTGGTTCTGAAATACCTGGTTTAATGTTTGTTGGTTGCCAAGTTAAATTAACATATATATTATTATATTCTGTCTACATTCAAAGATATTTGCTGTTTTGGAGCCTTGGCCTTTTGAAAGCCTGAATGGTTGGAATTGATTTTTCTACTTAACCCTATATATATTGGATAATGCAGTATACTAAAGTCTGTATTTTTCTTTTTTTCAGGTACATGACTTTGGATTTCTCAAATGCCATGCAGCTCCATGATTTCAACGATCTGAATGCCTTCCCATGCAATCTCCGAAGTTTGTGCATCTGCCTCTCAGAAGTTATTTTTCTGGAAGGTTTCATGAGGAGAATCTACAGCTGTCTGTCCTCTCTTGATGTCCTGCATTTAATAGGTGACAAAAACATGTTTTTTGACGAGTAGAACTCTATAAAGTATGTTCAACGTATTTTAGGTTTCAAAAGTCTATTTCTGATTTAATTCAAGGATACTGTGATGTGGTTAGCTCTTTCTTTTCTATCAAACATCTGGATACCGTAGAATTACAAAGTTCTATCTGCTCAGTACCAAGTTTTTGAAAAATTTGATGTAAGAAATGTTGACTTTTCACAATATGTCAAGCTCTATCCAATGCAATTCTTTGAATATCTTGATAGTGACTCTGAATAATCTTACGATTTTGATAGAGCAGATTTGGTTTTTGACATCATGGTCTTAGTAACTCAAAATGGCCAAAAATGTTAGATAGAACTTTGTAATTTTGAGGTAGCAATCTGTCATCCTTAACTTTCCTTCTTTTATGACTCTTAAGTAATAGCCTACCTCTAATCTTAGGGGCTTTATGACTTATTTGTGTTGCAAGTGCTGTGTGAAAAACTCTTTTACTAAAACTTATGTAAAACGATTTTAATTTTAGAAGCGACGCATTGGATAGATTTCGCTCTAGAAGATTTGCTGTCATGTCGAAATACTGGCTTAGTACAATAGAAACTATTTTGTTTGGTGGTAGTAGTTAAAACTTGTTGTTTTGCTGGGTGGCAAAGAGCGAAGGTGGTGCTTAATGTTATAGTTTGGGATTGATTTTTTACACAGAAAACTCCTACCAACAGTAATTATGTTGCTATAAATTGAAAAGCTAAAAAGCTGAACTTATGGCTCAAAATAAAGCACAGGGATCCCGATTTTCTTTGTGCTTGCTGTAACTCAATGACGCTGATGCTGAGAATAGTTGTTTTTGGTTCTCCCTCTCTGGTTTCGCTGCATTCTTTTGCAATTTTCCGGATATTATAAATACCATTTTGCGAAGCTGGATTACTTTAGTGCAGCTAAATGAAGCACGGTTTCCTTTTTTTTTCTTTTTTCGTGAGAACTCAGTAATGATGATAAGAATCTTGTCTATCACCTCATTTCCGTTCTTTGTTCTCTTTCGATTGTCTGTCTGTCTGTCTGTCTGTCTGTCTGTCTGTCTGTCTGTCTGTCTGCCTGCCTGCCTGCCTGC